GGACCAGCATGGGACAAAGTCGAGGCTCATCCTTTGCCCAGCCCAAAGTGACACGTTTGATTCTGGCCCATATATTTAGAGAGCTTAAAATCTTACTCCCAATGAATGTTCATCATGAACCCCGGTGTTGGATTTCCCGCTTCATTAAAGGCAAGGGTTTTCTGACTTGGGCTGCCCTTGGATGCTGGATTTCGTCTGAGATAAGCCAAAGAGAACCGTTCAAAAGCCTGCCTCCCAGGCCCAAACCAAAGATTGGCTTAGGCTTCCTGCGGTTGACCTCAGGAAAGGGTTATCAAACTTTTCTGAGTCAGGGGGAGGGGTCTGATTTTGTCTCTGACTCCAACCGGTCTATAAATCCAAATCCCTTCGCGGCTCATCCTAAAATTTATTTTGATCTTGACCGAGCCGTGGACAACTCCTTGGGCTTCTTAGGATTGCATGCCTCGGAACTGCACCTATCCTAGAGGATACTCTGTAGGTCAAAATCCGAATCGTACCCCCACTAAAATACACTGGGTGGTGCACCTACCCCAAAATGGTACCATTAAGACCCACAGCCATATCCAGTTTAAGGTTCATCCGTAAGGGTACCGACATAGCACTTGTGGGAGGGTACCTGGAAGATCGATTTCTTCTTGGGACCGTTTGTGAGGTGCCATGGCAACGTGGGAGAGAGGGTAGCAAATTCGGACCGTGGCACGTATGGACCCTTGTTTGGTGGCTTTAAAAGGAAAGCAAAAGCAAACCAGCCATATTTGGAGGTCCGCTATTTGAGACACGGCCAAATATGTCTGTGTGTATGTTGTTTGTCGAGGAGCCATGTTCATCTTGGTGCAACCAACTCGTACGGTTAAAGGCAAGCATGACAAAACTCAAAAGGCCCAAACGCATCAAAAGCCAACGGGTTTGTTGAGTCTGGCAATGAACACAGAAACCATCCTCATCGATGAGGCCACTACCCCCCCTTTTGGATCCCGCACATCGACGCAACTTGCAGGTCACGTTGAACGAAAACGAGGGACTGATGCCAGCTCCATCTCTTTTCCCTTGTAGGGGATCCAGTCATTCTCGTCCTCCAAGGCCTTCTTCACCTAAGCAAAAGGCGCAGTCGGCCCAAAACGCTCAACCATGTCCAAAAATAGCGGGGAGCCTTGCGGTTGAAAGGAATGGGCCCGGGTTGTTCAGAGCCAAAAGGCCTTGTACGCATTTTGAGAAACCGTCCATGTCTGTCCGAAAAAGTTTCGGCTTATGGCCCCACGGCAGTCCATCCAGCCTTGATGGAGAGGTTGTCCTTGCGGAAAGTGCCGCTCGCGAAAAGGACACGTCTTCCGACCAAGTCCCTTTGTGGGCTTCTTGGTTTGCCACATGGGAAATGGATCTCCTGAAAAGGGGGTGTGCGAAGTCCAAGGGATGGGGATACCAAACCCGCTCGAGCTGTCAATATTGATTGTGTGTTTGGCGAACTCCGTTTCCTCATTGTACGTTGGTGAGTGTGCCCCATGTCATTCCCTTTACTGCAGATGACAGCAGCTATTGACCATTTGCTGCAGTCCACGAGAAAGAACAAAATATATCCAGTAGTGATAGATGCCCTTTAAACCAAGAGGGCCGGGGTGCAACGACTTTCATTTCGGCAAATGGAAGATGACTGGAAGGTCATTGCGTTCGCGTCCTCGTAAAGCGCCAGCTTCTTGGTGCTGTACTTCCCGTCCAGCAAGCCCCTCACCTGCGCGGAGGCGAATGAATCCTGAGCCCAGTGGCGTCAAAAAAACGGGCACCTTTCTTTGTTTCAGGTTACCCCTTTTCTTGGTGGTTTGGATTGGTGGAATGGGGATTTGAACCCCTTTTTGTAGAGGGCAAAAGGGAAAACACCCCTTAACCACCAAAAGGCCAATCCACCACCAACTAGAGGAAGCTGATTGTTGGAAGTTTAACGTTACCCCCCCTCCCCACCAGGTACCAAGAAAAGATGCCCCATGCTCCCCAGTCAAGGGTTTTCTTGTGCTGAATGAGCCGTATTACAGGGTGTTCCCCAAGGCTCTCTTCAAGCAACTGAATAACCAATCAGGAAGCTGATTTTGAACCAGGTTCCTTTGTGTCAGCCAGCAACTTGTTTGTTCATTCCAACATGCTTAGCCCTGCATGAAGTTGTGGGGAAGGTTCTAGGACCCCTGATTTCGGAAACACCACGTTGCCATACACGTACGTGTCTCACCCCCCTTTGTGCTAGCTCAAAAGAACTCCCAACTCAGGGAGGGCAGGGAGTCAAGATGGGGGGCTTCTGGGGGGTCCCCCTATTTCGACACACATACCCGGGGTGCTCGTGTACCATTTGGAGATTGTGTATCCCACTCAATATTTGCCTTTTAGGCTTTGAGGGATCACTGAATGACTAAGGTTAGCCGGTGATTAGGCATTTCTACAAACAACAGAGTTAACTCCTCTTCTGGGGTGGGGGAGTTTTTTGAGTAGGTTACAAGATAGGTTAGTCACCATTTACTAGCTTGGCCTACCACCTGAAACAAACACAACACAAACCCAGCCTGCATGTAACTCTCACTTCCTGAGTGGATGGCCCGAAACTTGCCTTATTTTCTACACACGTGGTCTCAGCCAAAAAGGTACAACGTCCATGAAAGGCCTGCCTTCTTTTGACTTTGCTCCACCAGAAAGGGGTAAGGCCCCGAAAGGGAAGAAGAAAAAAAACGGGGGTCAACACAGAGCTCCGAACTCCGATGCCTCCAGCCCAGGCATGCCGTCCACATCCTGCTTCACCGCCACATGGGAGTCCGGGCCCAGGACGATGCGATGGTCCTCGGCCGCTTGGCCGCGACGGGAAGGCAGAGGTAGGCAAAAGGCGATGGTGGACCCCGGGCATGGGCATTTCCATGGGGTTTTGGAGCTATGGATGTGAAATCTAGCCCCAATATACGAGCCAGTGGTGGACAACCCTTACATGGGGATGGAGGTCCGCCAGCCCTTTTTGTGGGCGGTCCAACAGCACATTCATGGCCAATTGGGGAATCAGCCTTGGCACTGGGGTCCTTACCTCTAAACATCAGGCCAAAGAGAAGCTCAATTCAGAGCGGCCCAAACGCGGGAATTGCTTGCCAAGGGGCGGTGCACAGGGCAGCGGGGGGGGGGGGGCGGAGAATGTTGGTGTGGTTGTTTGACGTTGGAGTGGTTCCATATCAGACGAATTAGCTCCTTTTGCTGCCCCGCCAACCAAACACCAACCGCTGGGGCCTTTTGCGGCGGCAAGGTTGGCATATGTTGCCTCAAAAAGGCGCATTGAACCCCATGAGGGGTCTTTGGGGTTGTCTCTATCTGGAGTGTCTAGAACAAGAATCCAAACTCGACATGGCCAGGGGCATCGGAAACCAGTAGCGCTTTGCTAACTTCTACCCACCGAGTTCTTCCATGCATGTGTTTGGCTGGCTTGATGCGTGAGATGTTTGCTTTCATCAGAGCGAGGTTGGGTTGAGTTGGCCTGGCAGTTACACTAGGGTAGGCAATCAGGGAAGCGCATCTTGTACAACCAAAGCGGAACACCACCCTGCAGGTTCTCCTAACAGTTTCACTTTACAGAAAGTAATGCAAGGGTTGAAATTAAAAAAGGATGACGTGATGTTGGCAGTCTCCGGAATAGGAATATATGTACCCTCCGCATGTTACAACTCCTGGGACGGGTTGTTTCAGGAGAGACCTATGGATGAAAAGAATGGGGAATCGACCCTTAGAAGTATAGGAAACCCTGCCGTGACTTTTGACAATACCGCGAGCCTCAGATCCCAAGTTTGCCAACTGATCTGACTTCTTGGTAGGAGACTCTCCGATATTTTTGTTTGGGCATGTGTTGGACCCACAAAACCAAAGGATATGAGGGGTCGGGTACTGCTTGGGTGTTCGTAGTAAGCAGGTTACATGTACGTCTCTGAGGGCATTTATTTTAGTTACCCCAGCAATAACAACGGCTATACAACCCACTTACGAAGTGGCTTGAACAGGTCGGACGTCACAAAAAAGCCCAAGAAGCATCCCTCCAACAGCCCAAACCCGCCATATGCCCCCAAGCGTTTCCGAGGAAAGCGTCCCGGATTTGTCGGCTCTCAAACAAATCCAGTCAAGTACAACTCAAGAAGTTCCGAAAATGGGCTGGGGTCTCTGAAACCAACTCTCGGCACTTCTTCGCGCCGAAGGAGAAGTGTGAACTCGCCAAGGGGCCGCCGTAGCGTTGACATCCTTGCCTGCCTCGAAGCCCACCTCCTACAGCCGAGCTGCCCGGAGGGCGCGTGTTTCGAAGGGAATGTTGACCCATTATTAGGGTGGTGTTCCCTCCAAAAGTGGTCTGAATCCCCACTAAAAGGGCACCCCCCGTATTAATCAACCAGGGGCTTGTTGATCCGGGTTAACATTATCCCAACGTTGTGGTGGTTTGTCAAGGGAAACCAAGTTAGAAGCAAACCGAGATCCACTGCGGGAGGGACAACCCTAACAAAGGAGACACACCCACCTGACCCTTTGCTGGTTCTCAGATTCCAACGAGGGGATGGGGGGGGGGGGCGGGTGATCGAGTACAGAACAAAACAGACTTTCTGATTCTGTTCCATACGTCTACATACATATATAAACACATTTTGGAGGAGACCGCTGCTATGTGGAAACCTTGGCCGTGCATATGTTCAACATGTTGGTGGCCCAACTTATCTTGACCCACATCTGCGCACAGAAAAATACTGTTGTCTGACTCTCTCTGCTCGACTCTGTTCCATATCTAGACCCCCAACACATACTTACTTGGCCAGTGACCAGCCAACAACAGTGTATATACACTTTTTGGGCCAGGGAGAGCCACCAAAAAAATATATACTAGAAATTGTGTCCACTGGCTGGGTAAGCATACAAACAAGTTTTGGGATCGATCCCAAAAATGGTGCAGACATCTCTCCTCCAGCTCGTAGTAGATGTCCAGGGTCACATGACCTCGCTGGGCCTCGGCT